AGCTCCATCATCACCGTCCTCCTACTGCTCACTCACTATCAGCTCCATCATCACCGTCCTCCTACTGCTCACTCACTATCAGCTCCATCATCACCATCCTTCTACTGCTCACTCACTATCAGCTCCATCATCACCATCCTTCTACTGCTCACTCACTATCAGCTCCATCATCACCGTCCTCCTACTGCTCACTCACTATCAGCTCCATCATCACCGTCCTCCTACTCCTCACTATCAGTTCCATCATCTCTGTCCTTCTACTGCTCACTATCAGTTCCATCATCACCGTCCTCCTACTGCCCACTCACTATCAGCTCTATCATCACCATTCTTCTACTGCTCACTAACAGCTCCATCATCTCTGTCCTTCTACTGCTATCAGCTCCATCATTTCTGTCCTTCTACTGTTCACTCACTATCAGCTCCATCATCACCATCCTCCTACTACTCACTCACTAGCAGCTCAATCATCACCGTCTTCCTACTCCTCACTATCAGCTCCATAATCACTGTCCTACTGCTCACTCACTATCAGCTCCATCATCACTGTCCTTCTACTGCTCACTATCAGCTCCATCATCTCTGTCCTTCTACTGCTCACGATCAGCTCCATCATCACCATCCTCCTACTCCTCACTATCAGCTCCATAATCACCATCCTACTGCTCACTCACTATCAGTTTCTAGCGTCACCGTCCTACTGCTCACTCACTATTGGCTCCCACCATTACTCTTGGTTCTTGAAGCCACCACAGAGCCTGTGTACTTCTTGTTTCCCAAATGCCTTCTCTGCTGGGCCAGTTCCATAAGTGTGTATATAATGTGTATATGAAATATTTTATATATATATATATTTTTTTAACAAAACCATATATTTACTTAAATAAATGTGTGTGTGTACACACACACACACACACACACACACACACACACACACACCCCTGGAGCACATTTAAAGGCAAAATGAAGAAAGAAGTAGAGATGTTTAGTGAAGGAAGAAAGAACATGAAGGTCTGAGGCATGGACGGAGTATCTGCATTCTGTGGAAATCCAACAAGTAGAACTCTGACTGGCAGTTGGAAGCTTCAGGGAGGAAGTATGAGGAAGAGGTAGGTCATGGGGGTTCAGATTCTAGGGTCCACATTTAGATTCACCTTTTCTGGATTCAAGTGACTGGATTGAATGACTTCATCACTCAAAGCTCAGACAACTCATTTAAGCCCTCTGAGCCCAATTTTTCCCATCTCTAAAGCAGGGGCTATAAGACACAGTTCCTGGAGTGATGTGGGTGATGCAAACAGTTAATGTGCTTGGCTACTAACTGAATAGTTGAAGGTTCAAGTTTATCCAGGGGTGTTTTGGGAGAAAATCCTGGTGGTCTACATCCCAAAACACCAATCACTGAAAACCTATGGAGCACAGTTCTGGTTCTACACACATGGGGTTACCATGAGGCAGAATCAACCCAACAGCTCTTGGTAACAAACCTGATCACTTCCTGGCCCGAGAAAACCTCATGAAACACACTTATACCCTGACACGCGTGAGGTACCTCTGAGTTGGAGCCAAGCTGACAGCAAGTGAAATTTGTCACGGGAGTTATCCTAAGGACTCTGAAACACATGGGCCAACACAAGTTGATGATATAATTTTTAATTAGCTTTAAGCACTCTGGTGCAAGGAAGTGCTTCTCACAGTACCTGTTGAAACTTGAGGACCAACTAAAGCTGGATCTTCCCCTGGAGCTGCGCTGGGCACTTAGAGCCATTACTGTCGCTTTGGTATAAGATGAGCCCCTGAGAGCTGCTCTCTGGACCACGACTCCAGGTGAGGCCTTTCTAACGAGAACGTTCTTCCCCATCACCTTTCCTCAGCTTCCTGGGAAACGGCCAGGTGGTTGGTCAGTGCAAGGAAAAGTGGATGTGTACCTGTGGCTGGGCTCCACCAGACACTCGGGGGCTATTTTGGACAATTTGCCATCAGGCTATGAAGCTGAGAAATCCTCCAAAGCGACTGACAGCAGCCATCCCCCCGACAACCTGATCTACCAAGGTACGCTGCACCCTGGGCAAGAGGGCCACTGAATGTCTCTGGCAGGGTCCTGAGAAAACGGGGTGGAGGGAACCATACCGTGAACTACTGAGCTCTGATGGCATCGTCTCTAGGGGGTTGCGTTGCTAACCCAGAGGCAGAGCCTCTTTGAAAGTTCAAATCCACCAGCAGCTCTGAGGCTGAGAGATGAGAAATCATCTCCAGGTGGTTTATGACCAGTGGAAACTTGCTGAAGGGTCAGCTATGAGTTGGTCCCAACTTAGTGAAAATGAGCATGTTAGGATCAAATAATTGGCCTTCTTGTAATACACTTTCTCAATTTTCTTCCTTACTTTCTAACATCCTATCTTAAGGGAATGGCCAGAAATCCTTAAAAACATATGGCATTTGTAAAACATCCTTTTATATTAATAGGAAAAAAAGTTATGTGCTGTCAAGTTGTCTACAACTCATGGTGACCCTATGAACAATAGCTCTGAGCCTTGCCCTAAGGCAATCTTAGTGTCTCTGATACACCTACCCCCATTGCCACAGTCACTGTGTAAGTGCGTCTCACCCAGGGTCTTCCTCTCCTGTGCTGACAATCTACTCTTCCAAGCATGATGTCCTTTTCTGAGGACTGATCCCTCCTATAAACATGCTCAAAGTATATAAGACAGAGTTTCAAAATTTTTGCCTCCAAGGAGCAGCCTGCTTTACCCTTTCCAGTACAGATCTGTTTGGTCTCTTGGCAGTCCATGATATGTTCAATACTCAGCTCCAGCACCACAACTCAAAGGCAATAATTAGTTTTCTGTCATTCTTAGTCATTGTCAAGCTCTCAGATGCATAGCAAGCAAATTAAAAGACTATGGCCTGGATCAGGCACACCTTAGTCTCTTGACTGACATTGTTACTCTTTATTCTCTGAAGAGGTCCCTGACAGTAGACTTTGCTAAAGCAACTTGTCTTTTGATTTCCTGACTACTGGTGTCAACAGTATTGATTGTGGGTCTGAACAAGATGAAGAAATTAATGATATCAATCTTTTTTTTTTCCATCTAGCACACAACAGAGTGCAATAGTAATAGTAGTAGTAGTAGTAGATATTTTATATAAATAACACAATAGTTGTCCTTTTGCGTCTGGCTTATTTGATACAATTTCTTCAGTGTTCATCCATGTTATAGCTTGTATCAAACATCTCTCCTTACTTGTGGCTAGTTTCTAATGTACCAGACAACCTAGTGGAAATTGGTAGTAGTGTGGTCACTCAGACTTCTTCAGGTCAGTTGTTGACTTCTACTAAAAGGCAACTCTATTTTGTGTCTACATAATTAATTGCTCTAAGTTTCATCATGTTTACAGTTCCATGAAACCTGAATTTTATCCTAAGTACTAATGCCTTACACACACACACATTTTTTTTGCTTTCAAGTCACCTCAGTTTGCAGGGTCTGATGGTGCTAGATCCAAATTAAAGCAGGTAGAAAGGTAGAAAGTTTCACCTTCATTTCTCGAGACTGTGGTTTGGGTTCAGTGCAATGTCAGAAACACTGGAGAACTGTCCACACGCCCAGGTTTCCAGCACTGCACAAGGTTCCTCTGGTCTTGGTGGATATGACAGCCGGTTGGAATTGAAGTTGCTCAATAAATTGTCAAAGTCCTGGGGATATTTCCCCAATTCCCCAATAGTCCAGCTTACAGTTTCTGCCCCCAGTGTCCATGCATAAAAGCAAAGCAATCCTAGACATGCTCCCCACTTGGAAAAAGTGCACCACTTATTCCACACCAAGCAGATATGAAAACTAATTTAGTTCTCACACCAACGCTGGGAGATCTCCTCCTTTTTCTAGATTATGGAAGTCATTGTCAGAGAGGCTCAGAAATGTCGCCAGATCACTCAACTGCTTAATGATGAAGCAATCTTTTTCTGAACTGTGCTTACTTTCTGTCCCGCCTTTAGAATCAACATGGTGGTGCCTTCTATTCCTATAAGGCACAATCTCTAGAGAGTCAAGGGCTCCAAACCTGTGCGCTGCCCTGTGACCAGGTGCTGTCGAGGCCACAGAATGAAATCCTGACCCTGTGCCGCCCTCCCCATCTCTGCTGTGCTTAATCCCACTGCTGTAGTCGCTGTGTCCATCTCTTGTTGAAGGTCTTCTTCACTTTCAACAAGGGCACTCTTTGGAGGCAAGGATGGTGAGGCTTTGTTTCATCCACTTTGGGCATGTGGTTAGACGAGGCTATTCCTTGGAAAGACATCATGCTTGGAAGGGTGGAGGGGCAGTGAAGGAGAGCTCCTGTCTTGAAATACTCTACCATCTCCTTTTCTCTGTTTCTGGACACACTCAGGCACTCACACCCAGACTCACCTTCACACGCACCTCTTCTGAAAAATCCCACTAACGCCTCCTCCCTTTCAATATCTGTCTCCAGACCGGCATCTCTTTCAGCTGAGAGCACACATGTACCAGGCCCGGGGCCTCATCGCGGCTGACAGCAATGGACTTTCCGACCCCTTTGCCAAAGTCACCTTCCTTTCCCACTGCCAGACCACAAAGGTAATCAGGGGGACCTGGCTGGCCTCCCACAGCTGGGGTGGGGTGGGGGTCCTGCAGCAGAGGCCAGGCGTGAACTACAGGGCAGGCCAACTCCTGTGTCTGGGGATAGGTTGTGCTGCAGCCTCAGAGCACTGGTGTGTGAGGAAGAGCTCAAGTGGGAAGGTCTATTGCTCCCTGAGATCCAACAACTGAGGGTTGAAGGTGGGGGTATGTCAGTGTGGATGTGGCCTCGTTGGTAGGGAGTCACACTGCCAACCCAATGCCACGCAAGTTCCGCCCACCAGCCGTTCTGTCGGAGGAGGTCTCCTCTTGTGCAATTTACAGCCTCTGGAAACCCACTGGAGGGTCCGCTAATGAATTCGTTTTCACTCAGCAGCAGTGCATCTTGGTTTTGATGGATAACATCTCTGTGGGATTGCTTGATTGGTGGAGGGTCTACAACTGCAAGCTGCATATGATAGTTGCAGGACAGGTTTTCCTGGGAATCTGCCATTAAAATTGATTTTTAAAGTGCGTCTGCTCCTGGGGTCCACTATCGTGATTTGATGATGTCTGTGATGACCTTTGAAGCATAGGTGATCTCCTCCTGCTTCTGTGTGACCACAGAGGAAAGACTCCCTGGGAACAGCCCGTGACCTTCTCTGTTTCTGAGACCGTGGAGGATGTGTTTCTTTAGGGCAAATGGCTCCCCATTAGAAAAGGCAACTTTGAAATTCCACATGATTTACATGGATTCCAAACTTACACCAAAGCTTTAAGATGGCCTTAAGTCTCCGTTTTCAGGCTGCTCCATTCTCACCCCCCAAGTACCGCAGATATGAGACTTTTTCACACAAAACTCGGGCTCTCCTTCCAGTGTGAGTTAAGGTGGTCCCAACCTTCCAGATAGTAATCTTTTAACCCAGCTACAAGGCAAGTTGCGCCAAGAAATCTGGAAACCAACCACTTGGCCAACTGACTGCAATAGATCTGTATTTGTTCCCATTCCAAAGAAGGGTGACCCAACAGAGTGTGGAAACTATAGAACAATATCATTGATTTCACACGCAAGCAAGATTCTACTGAAGATTATCCAAAAACGACTGGAACAGCACATCAGCAGAGAACTGCCAGAAGTCCAGGCTGGGTTTAGAAGGGGTCATGGTACTAGGGATATTGTAGATGATGTTAGATGGATCTTAGCTGAAAGCAGAGAATACCAGAGGAATATCTATCTGTATTTCATTGATTATGCAAAGGCATTTGACTGTGTGGATCATAACAAACTGTGGCTAACTCTGAGAAGAATGGGAATCCCAGAGCACTTGTTCATGCTAATGCGAAACCTATACTTGGACCAAGAGGCAGTCATCAGAATAGAGCAGGGAAACACTGCATGGTTCAAAATTGGGAAAGGTGTATGCCAGGTACGTGTCCTAGCTCCATACCTTTTCAACCTGTATGCAGAACAGATTATCTGAGAGGCTGGACTCTATGAGGAGAAGAGTGACATCAGGATTGGTGGAAGATCTATTAACAATCTGTGTTATGCAGAAGACACAACCCTGCTTGCTGAAATTGAGGATAACCTGATGAACTTGCTGCAGGACTGCAGCCTTCAGTATGGACTGAAGCTCAATGTCAAGAAGACAAAGATTCTCACCACTGGACCAATTGGCAGCATCAGGATGGATTGTGAAGAGATTGAGATTGTACACAGCTTTAGTTTGCTTGGCTCCACGGTCAACAGTCTTGCACCAGCAGCCAGGAAATAAAAAAACGTATTGTGATGGAAAAGTCTGCTGTTAGGGACCTCTCCAGGGTATTGAAGAACAATGGTGTCACTTTGGAGACTAAGGTGCCTCTGATACAGGCCATGGTCTTTGCAATCACTTGTTATGCATCAGAGAGCTGGATAATGACTAGGGAGGATAGAAAGAGAATTGATGTCTTTGAGCTGTGGTGCTGGAGAAGAGTATTGAATATATGATGGACTGCCAAGAAAACAAACAGATTCATCCTAGAGAGTGTTAAACAGGCTGCTCCTTGGAGGCAAGGATTCTAAGGCTTCATCTGACATACTTTGGACATGTTGTAAGGAGGGACAGGTCCTTGGAGAGGGACATCATTCTTGGGAGGGTGGAGGGACGGCACAAAAGGGAAAGACCCTCTATGAGGTGGATTGATTCAGTGACTGGGGTAATTGGGATGGGTGTGTCAGAGGCAGTGCAATTGGCACAGGACAGAACAGGGTTTAGGGCTATTGTACATAAGGTCGCTATGAGTCACAAGTGACTCGATGGCACATAACAACAACAACAACAACACAAGGCAGCCCTCCTTGAGGGAACCCTGAAGAGAGGAGGCTGGTCATGGCACCCGGCACAGAAGTGAGAGCATGTGTATTGGGTTGGGTGAGCCTTCAATATTTCTCAGCAGGGGTACTTCTGTTCATGGGACCAGCTCTGAGGACAGGTCCGCACCCACTCTTTCATTCATGTAAATATTTGTTGTGTTCTTTCTATACTTTGGATGTTGAGTTAGTGCCCAACACTGTGCTTAGCACACTGTAGATCTTGAATATTTATGTACTCAAGGAATGATTTAATTTTTCTCAACTTCAGCTCGAACTTGCATATGAGTAGTTGGTGGTCTGTCCTATAATCAGCATCTATCCTGGTTTTTACAGCTGATATTGAGCTTCTCCGGCGGGTCTTTCCACAAGAAAACAAAAATTCTCAGCACTGGGCCAATTGGCAGCACCAGTATGGATGGTGAAGAGATTGAGATAGTTAATAGTTTTAGTTTGTTTGGCTCCACAGTCAACACTCTTGGTACCAGCAGCCAGGAAATCAAGAGATGAATTGCATTGGGAAAGTCAGCTGTGAGGGACTTCCCAAGAGTACTGAAGAGCAATGATACCAGGCTGGAGGCTAAGGTGCACCTGATCCAGGTTATGGTCTTTGCAATTACGTGCTATGCGTCAGAGAATTGCATTGAGTGACTAGGGATGATAGAAAGAGAATTGATGCCTTTGAACTGTGGTGTTGGAGAAGAGTGTTGAATATACCATGGACTGCTAAGAGAATAAACAGGTTTGTCCAGGAGAGAGTGAAGCCAGAATACTCCTTGGAGTCAAGGATTCTGAAGTTTCATCTGACATATTTTGGGCATGCTGTACGGAGAGACCAGTCCTTGGAGAGGGACATCATGTTTGGGAGAGTGGAGGGACAGTGCAGGAGAGGAAGACCCTTGATGAGATGGATCGATTCTGTGATTGGGGTGGTGGGAGTGAGTGTGTTGGAGATGGCGAGGTTGGCATGGGATAGAGCAGCATTTAGGGCTCTTGTACATAGGGTTGTTATGAGTCACAGACGACTTGACAGCACACACCAACAACAGCAACAATAATGGGCACAACCAACTATTAATGTCACAGTTTGCTACCATAAGCAAAGTCAATAAAAGAAAAAGTTTGTGCAAATGTTGAGGTTTTAAAGACCCTGGTTGGTTCATTAACTGTTAAATCAATAGCCATGAAACAATAGAATATAAGAAATATTAGCTTCAACCTCCATTAATGGGAACTTGATGAAGAGAAATTACTTGCTCATAGGTGAAGAATCAGTAGAGCTCCTCCGAGCCTCAGTAGGCCTCTGTGAAATAGAGCTTGTCTTAGCCTCTGCTTGCTGAAGCTGGTGGAGCTAAGCAGGCTGGGCTCGGATGCCAGATGATGCAGGATGGATCCCAGTTCCTACCCTTTTCTTTTCTCTCAACAAGCGGGCCCAGTTTCCTGGTCTTTAAAAATGTCCATAAATAATTGTACCCACCTCCCAGAATTGTGTGAAGTTTTAATGACACTATGTGCAAAAAAGTAAAGTAAAAACAAAACAAGATTCAATTTTGTTGAGTCAGATCTAAACTCAGTGACCTTATAAGAGAAAGTATTACTTCCCCATCTGGTTTCCAAGGCTGTGAATCTATGGAACTGACTGTCTCATCTTGTTCCTGAGGAGCCTTGAGTAATACATGGTTAATGTGCTCTTCTGCTAACAACGGAAAGACTGGAACTTCTAACTGACCCAAAGGTGCTTTGGAAGAAAAGGCTGATTGTCTACTTCCAAACATGTTGTTCTTTGAGTTAGCACCTCAGCGCTTGATTCTCTGTGTCAGCAGGGCTCCTCCAAAGCACTGTCACCAGCCCACAGCAGACAATAACAGATAGCTAGTATTATCATCATAGCACTCTTGTGAAGATAGAGTTGAAGCTCTGTTGGCCTAGTGGTAAGAATCTACACTGCAATTCTGAAGACATGTGGTTCAAATCACCAGCTGTTCCATCAGAAAAGGATGGGCAAGCTCCTCTCATGCAGTTACTGCCTCTGAAAACCCACTGGAGGGTCAGCTATGGGTGAGTTTCATCTCAATGGCACACAATGACAACCTGAACATTGTAGGAGCTTCCTCATGAAATTAATTAAAAGTATGACTGCAGTAGGTCTTAGTAGCCTTTAGCATCTACTACAGAGTAGCAGCTCGGTGTCTGTTGTTGCTTGTAGGTGAATGAGGGACAATGACATCTTCTATTTGTCCTCCGTAAGTAACTTGAATGCAGTCTGAAACCCATACAACTAACAGAGTGATCTTTGGCTCTGCTCTTGGCCCTCTCTTCCAGGTGATTTCCCAGACCCTCTCCCCCACCTGGAACCAGATGCTTCTGTTCAACGACTTGGTGTTACATGGGGACCAGAAGGAGCTACTGGAGTCCCCACCCTTGGTGGTGGTAGAGCTGTACGACAGTGACGCGGTGGTGAGGCTCCCACCGGGCTGGGCTCTCATGCCAAATTAAGAACATGACACTGAAGTCATATAACTGCCCTGTGACTAGTTACCATGTTAGATTACCTTGAGGTCAACCTGGCCTAGGAACCAGGAACCAGGAAAGCTACTGATGGCCATTTGTTTTACTAAAGATTAGATTTGAATTTTCTTGAAATTGTTATTATAATAGGATCTGGTTTACAAGTTTTGAGTCAGCACATACTTCTTTAGAAATATACTTGTAGGGAGCTCTGGTGGCCTAGTGGCAAGAAGCTGCACTGCAATCCCAGAGGTATGTGGTTTGAATCCACCAGATGCTCTGCTGGAGAAGGAGGGGCAATCTTCTCCTGTACCAGTCAGACCCGGTTTGATGGTACACACACAAAATATAATAAAATAAAATTTTAAAAAAGAAATATACTTGTATAAAACCATCAGAAGGTCTTGAGTAATACATGGCTAAAGTGCTCATTTGCTAACAATGCAAAGATTGGATGTTCTAACTGACCCAAAGGTGCTTTGGAAGAAAAAGCTGATTATCTACTTCCAAACATGTTGTTATATTAGATGCTGTTGAGTCGACTACGTCTCTAGCGACCCTATGATTGATTGATCTGAACCTTAGCCTCCCATCCCATCCTCACCATTTCTGGGAGACTTGAGCCTATTGTTAAAGTCATGGTGTTACTCTATCTCATTGAGGATCTTCTCTTTTGCTCACCCTCCACGTTCTAAGCATGATCTCTTTTTCCAAGGACTAACCCTTACTAACAACATACTCAAAACATGTGAGATGAAACGTCACTATCGGTGCCTCGAAAGAGCACCATGGTTGGTTATACTTTCTTCAAGACATATTTGCTTGTTCTTTTGACAGTTCATGGGATATTCAGTATTCTTCTCCAAGGCCACAACTGAAAAGCATCAATTCCTCTTTTGTCATCCTTAGTCATTGTCTAACTTTGAGATGCCTAGCAAGTAGTTGAAAATGCCATGGCTTGAATCAGATGCACCTTAGTATTTAAACTGACATCATTGCTTCTCAACACCTTGGAGAGGTCTTTGACAGCATATTTACCCAATGCAATATGTCTTTTGATTTTTGACTGCTGATAACAGGATGTTGGTGGTTCATCCCAGTAAGAAGAAATCATTGACAATTTTAGTAGTTTTTAATGTATTATGATGTTGCCTATTTGGCCACTGGTAAAGATTTTTGTCTTTTTGGTGCTGAAATGTAGTAAGTGTTCTTTGATCTTCTATAGCAAGGGTTTCAAGTTCGCTTTACTTTTAGAAAGCAAGACTGTATCAGCTGCATAATGCAGGTTGTTGATAAGTCTTCCTGCAATCTGATGTGACATTCTTCTTCATAAAATCCAGCTTCTCATATTATTTGCTCAGCCTACACATTGAATAGATACAAAAAATGATATAACCCTGACACACATTTCTTAATTTTAAATCATGCTTCTTGGTCTAAGTACAGGGTCCACGTGAGCAAAATTAAGTCCTAGGATTCCCATTCTTTTCAATGTTTGTCATAGTTTGTTATGTTCCACAGAGTCTTTGAATAGTCAATAGAACACTAATAGACCTCCTTGTATTCTTTGCTTTCATTCAAGACCCATATGACATCAGTAGTGATACGCCCTGGTGCCATGGTTTCTTCTAAATCCAGCTTGAATTTCTGGCAGTTCTCAGTTGATGTACTGTTCAAACCATTTTTTTTTAAATCCTCAGCAAGATTTTACTTGCATGTAATACTAGTGATATTGTTACATAATTTTCACATTCTGTTGGATGACCTTATTTTTTGGAACAAATATGAATCTTTTCCAGTCAGTTAGCCAAGTAGCTGTTTTCCAAGTCTCTTGGCATAGACTGGTGAGAGCATCCAGTGCTGCATTTCTTTTTTGGAACATATCAATTTGTATCCCATCAATTCCTGGTGCATGATTTTTTTTAACAATGGTTTCATTACAGATTTAATTTTTTACATCATTACCATTGGTTCCTGATAATTTGTTACTTCCTGAAATGTTTCCCTGTCAGCCAATTCCTTCTGGTATAGTGACTTTGTGCATTCCCTCTATCTTCTTTTGATGCTTTCTGGGTAATTCAAAATTTTGCCCATAGCATCTTTCAGGATTGCAAGTCTATGCTTGAATTTGTTTTTAAGTTCTTTTAGCTTGAGAAATGTCTAGTGAATTTTTCCCTTTTTATCTTCTGTCTTCAGCTCTGTGCACATTTCATTATAACACTTTGTTTTGTCTTTACATCGTGCCCTTTGAAATCTTTTGTTCAAAGAGCAAAGTTCAAATTCTGGCACATTTGGAGTCACCACGAGCCAGACTTGACTTGATGACAATTGTTTTGTTTCTGTTTTATGAGCAGCCTATGCCTGTCCTTTCTCTCCCTCCCCAGTTAGTTCCATATCTGAGTGCTCTTCAGTAAAATGGATCGTGCATTTTGGAAACAGGAAATTTTTACTGATGCCCCTTGGCTCAAAGGATACGGATGGATATTGCCACTGGTTCACTTTTACTTGGTGGTCACTTCTGAGCCCTGCAGGACCTAGTTCATCGCCACCTCCTCTGTGTTAGTGAAGGACCACAAATCTCTTCCCCTGCAACATGCCAGGGTTATGAAAGCTTGAATAGACTGGAGAGCTTTCTAGGGAGGTTTCGTTTATAATCACAAATATTCTTCTTTTCATTAAGAAAAGCTTAAAGGTAACATCCTCAGTTTGTTGACATCTCTGACAAACAAATCTGTCTTAGAAGAAATGCAGCCAGAAAACTTCTCGGAAGTGACGATGGAACAACTTCCTTTCACATATTCTGGGCATGTTATCAGAAAGATATTATGCTTAGGAAAGCAGAGGAAGATGCCTAACCAGCTGACCTGACAGAATGACTATGCCAGTGGTCTTGAGCTCAACAGATATTGTGTGTTTGTGCAGGACGGAGCAGTGTTTCCTCCTGAGGCCTGAAGGTCACTGTGGGTCAGTGCTAACTTGATGGCGCATCACGGCAACAGCCTCCGCAGGAGGTGCAGACACAGTGACCAGCTCATTGCTGTTGAGAGGGGATCATCTCATGGCTGACCCTCCGGTTGGTTTCCAAAGCTATAAATCTCAAGGGAGGAGCCTGCCCACCGTCCTCCCATGGATGGTGGATCCTATACCCCATGGAGGAATGGCCTTTGTGTTAGCAGTGCAGTTAGTGAGGACAGACTCAGCCACCAGAGCTCAGAAGTACAGCTGGATCCAGGGCAAGAGTTTCCCCAAAGAACTTTCCTCACAGTCAGACCTCCCTGCGGATCAGGAAGAAACTGAGAGTCAAGAATTGATGAACAGGGTCCCTAAGAGACATTAAGTCCACGCCTGGCTTCTTGAGAGAGTATACAAAGACTTACTCACCCCTCACTACTATTGGGTCAGTTATAACCTGGATGGGCCCTGCTGGACAGAGTAGAACTGTCCCCACAGGGGTTACTAGGTGTAGAGCTGACATCCATGTCTTCCTTACGCCGAGTGGATTATGGGTTCCAACTGCTGGCCTTTAGAATGGCAGCCTAGCACTTTAACCAGCAGGGGTTATAGTGGAGACCCAGAGGTTAAATACCTTGTTCCAGGTTACAGCTAACAGGAGGCAGAGCTAGAGTTCAGTTCAAGGTTACAGCTAACAGGAGGCAGAGCTAGAGTTCAAACCCCTGGTTCCTGTGCGGACTCTGTGTGTATGACGGTTGCTGCTATGTTTGCATCTTTGTATAATGGGGGCACTCTGGTTCTGCTGTCACTCTCTCCCTCTCTGGACTGTAAATTGGGTCTCAATGTATATGGATATGATTAGAGAATAGGAGTGCTACTGTTCTGCATGTAACCTGGACTTTCTTTAGAGAAGGACGCAAAATGAGTACCATTTCAATTTTGTTCCTTACAATATATCTCCAAGCCTAAATATTTCTTTGTTAGAAAATCAATAATACCCATGTTGTTATGTGTCATTGAGTTGTCTGTGACTCCTAGCTAGCTATCCTGTGCACAATAGGCGTGCTCCTGCCCTGAGCTGGTCTCACTGTCTCCTACATACCTACCTCTATCACCCCAGTTACTGTGTCAATCAATCTCATCCACTCCTGTGCTGTCCCTCCACCCTTCCAAGCATAATGTCCTTGTCCGAGGACCAGTCCCTCCTGGCCACGTACCCAAAGTATGTGAGATGGAGCTTCAAAATCCTTGCCTTCAAAGAGAAACTTGGTTTTACCCTCTCCAAAACAGAGCTGTTTGTTCTCTTGGCAGTTCATGGTATGTTCAAGACTCTTCTGCAGCACAACTCAAATGCATCAATTTTATTTTGTTATCCTTAGTCATTGTCCAGCTCTCTGATGCATAGAAAGTGATTGTGAAGACCAAGGTCTGAATCAGGTGCACCTTAGTCTCTAGACTGACTTCATTGCTCTTTAGCACTTTGGTAAGGTCCCTGACAACAAATTCTACTAATGCAATTAATCGTTTGATTTCCTGACTACTGATGCCAAGAGTGTTCATTGTGCAGCTGAGCAAACTGAAATTGTTAACAGCCTCAATCTCTTCTCTGTCTATCATGGTGCTGCCAATTGGCTCTGAGATGCTACAGTACTGTGGCATCATTGAAAGCTGCTTCTGCTAAGCCTTCCATTTCTGGGTCTTCTCTGGGAGTTCTCTTTGCTTTTCAGACCCTCTTCTAGAATTGCCATTCAAATTGTGATTGGCTGACTGGGCTGACCCTCTTAGAGTTCTTCCTTGGATTTGGATGGGTCCCTCTACTTCACAAGGTTGTGGAAAGGGATAAGGAGAAGTTTTCAGAGGGAGAGAATAAGATGATGCTGGCTTTGTGGAGATGAATTACCTAGTAGGACTCTTGGTGTTCAGAATCAGGTAGACAACTATCATGGGGGAAATGTCATGTCTTTTCTGCCTTAGGGGAAACCAGAATATTTGGGTGCCACAGTAGCCGCTCCTGTGGTGAAGCTAGCTGACCAGGACTACGAGCCACCCCACCTGAGCTATCACCCCATCTTTTGTGGGAATCTCTCGGGAGGGGATCTCCTGGCTGTGTTTGAGCTTCTCCAGGTAAGTAAACCAGACCTATAGTCAACTCCTGACATCTACACTTGATGCCTGTCTAGTCTATGTGGTTAAAGACACAGCATCTCTGGGCATGTACTTCAATGAAAGCTACCCGTGGCTCCTTCCTGCCAGCTTGTGTCTGGAAAAGTCTTCTTCTGGAGACCTGGAAGGTGCTCAGTTCAAGGGACATATACACACTCCATAGCCTCAATCTGCAAATCAAGAGTCCCAGAATGGGGGTGGGGGTGGGGGGGCCATTGGAAGTTATCTTTTGAAAGAAATGGTAGTCTATCTCTTGTATTCTCAATTGTGTAATCTTTCTGTTATCTGA